TTAGATAGATAGATAGATAGATAGATAGATAGATAGATATGAATAAACTGAATTAGACAGGTCTTTAGATGACAGGTAAGTAGGTAGGAACAAAATGAGATAGATAGATAGATAGATAGATAGATAGATAGATAGATAGATAGATAGATAGATATGAACAGACTGAATTAGACAGATCTTTAGATGGCAGGTAAGTAGGTAGGAACAAAATAAGATAGATAGATAGATAGATAGATAGATAGAACAGATGAGATTAGATTAGATAGGATAGATAGAACAAAATGAGATAGATGACCAGATAGATAGATAGATAGATAGATGGATAGATAATAGGATAGGAACAGACTGAATTAGATAGATAGATGACAGGTAAGTAGGTAGAAACAAAATGAGATAGATAGATAGATAGATAGATAGATAGATAGATAGATAGATAGATAGATAGAATAGAACAGACTCTTTAGATGACAGGTAAGTAGGTAGGAACAAAATGAGATAGATAGATAGATAGATAGATAGATAGATAGATAGATAGATAGATAGATAGATAGATAGATATATAGATAGATATGAACAGACTGAATTAGACAGATCTTTAGATGACAGGTAAGTAGGTAGGAACAAAATGAGATAGATAGATAGATAGATAGATAGATAGATAGATAGATAGATAGATAGAAGAGACAGAAAAGAGAGGTGAATGACAAGAAACAAATGCGAGCGAGAAAGAAAGAAAGATGAGTAAATGAAAAGAACATATGAACCAGCAAGAAAAGAAAACAAAATACGAAAGAGAAGACAATAAAGAAGAACTTAGAAATAAGAATTTATAGAAGAAACAAAGGTGCAGAAATAACGTACACAGTAAGAAAACACCAGACCGCAAATAGTATAGGAAAAAGTGTCATTGTTAGGGGAGCCATCTTGATTTGTCGAATTTCAACCCCGTTCTTCCTCTTCTGTGCACCGTTGAAACATTTTGTGAGCCAAGAAGATAACCAATCAGAAAAAAAGGCCTGAAAGCTTTGCCAGTGGATTCAGCATCTTTCAGACCGGGCTATCATTTGTAAATTTGCCAGCCCGATGCCCGAAGACGATAGGCTGATACACAGTTGTGATTTGGCAGACGACTGACGCCAGGCAAACAGTAACGCAGTACTTCGTTCAATATACCACCATCGTCTCGTTATCTACGAGAATTCTGTTTAAGTCTATACCTAGCGTCTGGATGAAGGAACGCAGGGAATGGGACAAAGTCAGTCAGAGATTATGTGTTAAGGTTTATCTTCTTCAATTCTTGGTATTTTTAACAAGTCAGGAACTTCTTTGTTCGTTTATTGTTTCGTTTTTTTTCTGATTACAGGTTGTAATTGGGTGGCCGCCTTCTTGTTTATAAGAGTGCCTTCTATTGGTCATGGTTCAAACCCCTGTAAAGGAAAGAAACATTTCGAATGCCAAATTTATAAAGGTCGGAAGAGAGGAATAATTTTTGACTTACTAAATATTTATGAAAGTGCGCGTAGGGTAAAGGATACACTTTTGCTTTTAACTAAATATTCAACCGACGAAGTACCCGAGAGCCACTCAGTATAGAGGGTAGTAAATGAGGTTACCACCGCCTTAACCAGGTATTTTGGGCCCTGTCGCTGGATCTAATCAACGCATTTATCCACTGTGCCATGAGTCTTTGTGGAGAATTCAGAGAGGGTAATTAACAGGAGATAACTGATAACTGGCATCCATTAGACATGGCAAGTGGAACTAGAACAGTCTACCCCAGTGATCGAAATAAAGGGTTCAGTTCGAGATTACAACCACCTGAAGAAGGCCGGAGAGCACAACGGCCAAAACGTTGTAATAAATATGGCGACAAAGATGAGGACAATATTCCGAATAATGTAAAAATATATATATATATATATATATATATATATATATATATATATATATATATATATATCGTATAAATTAGTGCTAGTAGATTTCATCGATCTGTGTTTTATTACACCCACAACCCACTGTGTACTATATCATTCATACATATATATATATATATATATATATATATGACAATTTAAAGAGCATATTCTTTTTTTTTTAGAAAAAGTGGAGTTTTGAGTATCTAAACTATTTCTAAGAATTAGATTGGGCCTTTTAAACCTTTCGTTATAAATGTTGATTTATATGTGAGCGAATTGGAGTAATATTTAACAAAAGACAACTTATCCTAGATGAGAGTGTAGTGCATGGATGGATGATATACGAGTTTAATGTCGTATGAGATGCAATATCACAAAGGACATCAAATTTCGTACAGATAAAGCAGTCGCCCATAAGTTCACTTGTTATTTCGCAAAATTTAAGGCAATTCGCGCATATAGAACATATATATATATATATATATATATATATATGTGTGTGTGTGTGTGTGTGTGTGTGTGTGTGTGTGTGTGTGTGTGTGTGTGCAAATATATAGCAAAATAAGGAAAGAACACGTTAGGTAAATAATCCGAGTTCTTTAGTATTTGTGCTTTTATTTTTTAAAAATTATGATTCCTTCGCTACATAAAGTTCTCATGTTTCAAAAACAAAGAGCCAGGACCTTCAATATAATTGTTAAAATTAAATTGAATTAAAGTATCAAACTCTGTTTCATCCTCAAGCAAAATTTTAGATTTTGATTCCTAAATTTTAGCTTGAGGATGAAACAGAGCTTGATACTTCATTTCAATTTAATTTTAACAATTATGTTGAAGGTTCTGGCTCTTGTTTTTGAAACATGAGAACTCTTATGTAGGGAAGGAATCATATTTTATAAAAAAATAATTATAAATACATACATATATATATGTGTGTGCGGATCTATTACGCACGAACATACATACATGCAAAAATACAAATCACATAAAACGACAAGCATTCATTGGTTAATTAATCGCGACTACGTTATTATAGGCAATTTACAAATCGCAGCAATACGACAATTTTGTAATCGCTCTATTTTTAAGTAGTCATTTTCGTGCACTTTTGTGAGAAACGGATCACAGAAGCTTTCTTAAGTCTCCCGCTGATTGGGCGATGCCAACCAATCAGATCGTCTGCACGTGAAGAATAATTCTTCCCGCGCAGCGATTTGGAGCCTACGGTCGCTTATATTAACGAAGGTCTTTTTCATCTAATCAGTGAGAATTCCAACTGCCAAACGAATCCACGACCGTTGAAACCATGCGCCAACTTCCTCACTCACACACACCACTCACCTACTGAACATACCTTGTACACACTCACAGAAACTCTTCTTACACAATAATATCTTCCAAGAACAATCATTACGAGAGACTCTCATAAACATTATTCCAGTGAACTTTGGAACACTAAAATAACAGTTAAAGGGAGACAACACTTGGTTAATTCAACCTTTTCTTACTTAAATGCATGCTTTCTTCCACATCGTTGTTTGATATTGTACATCTTGTTAAAATACATATTTTATGTGTAACAATGTCTTTTGCTTATCCTTTTCTGCGTCAGCCCTGTTTCCTAATCTAAAGTTAAATTAATGTGGTGAAGTCCGCCACACACACAAACACACACACACATACATACATATATATATATGAAGGGATCCTCGTATATTTCGTACACACACAGACTGATGAGAGGTAGATAAGTAGATAAAAAGCATGCGGTATTAGGTTTGAGTGACACCTGAATATTAAACAAAAACAAATTCAAAGAAACCGATCGATTCTTTTGGAGAATATCCCAAAAAAGTAAGTATGGCGAAAGAGAAAGTATTCAACCGCGGAAAATGGCACGTGTATTGTGTACTATACGCCGAAGACAACATAATCTAAATAAAAAAAAAAAGTCAGTGGCAGCTGTTGCCTTAAATGCATCTCTGATATGCTAATATTGGTTGTTCTCTCCAAACAACGATCAATGAAAATAAATGTTCCGGCGATAAAAGCAGTTGGTGTTCTCGAAATGGATAGCAGTTTATTTTTCTTGGGCACCCCGCGGTGGTGTAATGGTCAGCAAGCTTGTCTAACTAGAACAATTACGACTGAATAGTGAGTTCGATCCTCACTGAGTGCCCCCATACTTTCGGCCTTGTGCCACATCTAAGCTACGCGTAGAATGTCATGAGCAGTCGACACACAGTCTCTGACTGTGTACGACTTCTGTCGAACTCTCGGCAGAGAAGAACCCGGACGAAGCTTTGCCGAAGGGCCAAGTTTAGCCCCGGGAGGTAGATAGATCCTGAACCCGCTTATCTGGGTTCTAAGGGAACATTTTTTGCCGAGCCTACAGGCTCGGAGAAACCCACGTTAAACTCAGCCATGTGCTACATACATCCCTCGTTGGGGGAGGGACTGTTAAATATTGTAGTTTATTTTTATTCTTCGTCTGACGGCTTGCGAGTGACTGGTGTCCCTGTGCGTTGGATTTCTGACTGGTTACGTGCATTGAGAATTTTCATATTGCATCTGCGATTCGTGATTTCGACATATCTTTCTAACCCTGGATCTTCAAGCTTGCACTTACGATTGTTCATTTCCTTTTGAAATTGAGCTGACATATCAATTTCTGAACAGAAAAAAAAAACTAATTTTCGAAACGAAAGCCATCAGATTCCTATCCGACGATCACGTGACAGATATAGATTTACGTTGATGATGTGACGTTTTGGCTACGAATTGCATTTTTTTTTAAATGTTATTTTGTGTCGATAAGAGAGGTTATGAACTTTTAAATATTCAACTCCTTTTCCACCTCCGCTTCCACCAAATCTACATTTCTGGAAATACCGCATGACACTTTGCAAAATGTCTAATCGGTAATCAAAGAAATTGGTAACATAGTCAAAGGGCATTTTTCTACTATTTTGTGTAGGAAAAGAATCGTTCATTTCAACCAAGGCTATTTAATCTTTACAGTTCGCAAGCCGCAGTTTCTGTATTTCATGTAACATCCACGACGATGTCGGGATAATGGATAAAGAGATGTAGCCCCCTGTCTTTTTGCTGCATTTGAGACTAAATTGGTTCACTTGGCACAATTCTGTGACAATGATATTGAGTTGAGATGTATCATTTGTCTAAAATCATCCCTCTTTTTCTGTGTGCCTTGAAGTTTCAGGATGTGGGTGATCAAGGCTCTCCACATTTCCCTGTCCTTTGTACGAGGGTCATTCAATAAATAAGGTGAATTTTTCGGTATAATGACTTCTAATACAAATAGAAGCTTACTTTTTTTATTCATTTTTTTTTTGTTGTTGTTTTACTTCTTTTTCCCATGGATTTAATTTCTTTGGCAGATTAAAAAAAAAAAAAACTTTGAGAGTATTGTCGATTAACAAAGCTGGCCGACCAAGAATCATGCTCCAGGATTGAACAGCGGTCAGTTATCAAGTTTTTGGTTGCTGAAGGGTGCAAACCAGTTGCAATTCATAGGAGAATGTCAACTGTGTATGGTGCCACATGTTTCAGCCAAAAAAAATGTCTACAAGTGGGCTAAATTGTTTGAAGAAGGACGGAGAAGTGCTGAGGATGAAGACAGGCCTGGGAGGCCTACAGAAGTGAGGTCTCCTGAGGTGATCGAATCAGTCAATGACCTCATTCAGTCTGACAAAGAACTACTGTGAACTGCTGAGGCAGGTCAAGAAAGACATAAAGAACAAACGCAGGGATCATCAGTCAGAAGGAGTCATCTTGCATCATGACAACACAAGGCCTCACACAACAGCCCAAACGGT